GTTTTGCAATATTCTTTTAAGTTTTTTTTCATGCTTAGGTTTTACTCTTTTTCAGGATTGAATTAATCTAAGATCAAAAGATTGTTTTGCTGGGACCGAGTACTCAGAGAATAGTTATCTTTTGAAAACCGATTACTTTTGAAAACACGGCTTTCTCGCAATATGAAACTTAGTGAATACCAAATATATCTGATAAACATATGAAAATAAAGATGATGCATTCTTCTTTGCTTTAAAAGGAAAGATAATTACGTTATATTTTTGGTACTATTATTTGATTTTTAAAAACAATTTCTTAAGTAGAGTTTTTCCGTATATGTACAGAGCAAGGATAAAGTCGGTCTACAAATGCGGGAGGATTTGTAAGGATCGATGTGAGGGGTATAATGTTAGTGTATTTAGCAGCTACCATTCAAGTTATGATAAGAGAACTACTAAACTAGTGAAATATAAAGTTATTATCATTAGAAATGTGAAATTGTGACGTAAAAGTTTTAGTTATTGTTAAAAAGTATTTAAATTAAATGAAATTATATATTATTTGTTAGCTGGGTGGGGGGAAAGCTGAAACTCGTAATAGAACAGATAGAGTTCATAGATAGCAACCATCTTGGGTATTCTTACTTACCTTACAAATGTAAATATTTATGTATTTATATCAATAAATGAGAGATTTTAAAAATGAAAGGTATCCTAAAAATGATCAATGCACAAATAAGAATTTTGTTTGATAAACATGCTATTTATAAACACTTTGTTTAAAAAAAAATATTGTTTTTTTCTTTTTTTGATTAATACCTATTAAACCTAGTAAACTTATCAGGAATTTTGAGCCCAAAGTAGTTTTAGAATTTCTTGTTTTACACATTTTCAAATATTCTTTAAATTGGTTTTTTAGTTTATTTATTTACTAGGGTTTAATTGTAAAATTGTTTGGCAAACTCCTCAACAAAACTACAGTGATAACCAGAAAACTCTGGAATAGGAAGACGACTTTCAAACTTAAGTTATGACTTTAAATAGTCCAATAAGCATGAAACACAGCAATTGTGCAGTGTAAACAGACCAATTTCATTTGATAAGTGGTTTAACAATTTACTAGTGAAGATATTTGCTTTGTAACAACATCAAATCAACATCAAATAAAGGGAGTGTTCGCGAAAAATGTTATGATCTGAGAGTTACTTATATAAACATTTATTCCTGTTTCAAGGATTTTTGGTAATGAAGACGACATTTTAATATTTTCCAGGAATGTTCGAAAACAAGTTGTAAGCTAAATAGTATTTTAAAAAATTAAATCAAAACATATTATGAAAAATCAACTATATAAGGAATCATAAGGAAGTGAAATCTGCAAGAGACCCCATTGTGGGCCCCCCAGACCGCCCAGGCAGCAGGGTGCACTGCCCCGCCCCTGTTCTAACTAGACCTTTAAATCCCCATCAAATGTGCCGAAAGATAATCGATGACTATAGGTTGTAATATCTCAATGGTTTGTTTGAAATTAAATAGATTTTTACGGTCTAAGTCGTATGTTGAATCTTTCTGAATTTTTATGGACACTACGTTCTTCGGTAATAGTCGTTTTTAACAATTTTCTCCTTATAGACGCAACAGATAGAAGTAAGATTAGTAGCGATCAAAAGCGCTTTTTTATCGCATTATGCCTATACCCCCTTTTATTTTTCGCGAACACTCCCTTTAATGTCGTTTTTTCGTTTTTTACAGTTTTCCATATTTTTTTGTAATTGATTTTTCGCGGGATCTTTTCTTTAGCAAGAAGGTATTATTTCGTAAATCGAAAAATCTCCTTTTCATTGAGAAAGTAAATCTTAGACTGAAGTAAGTTGTAAGATTTTAATTTTTTATTTTTTCAAACAGTTATCTTATTCAAGAGTTATTGTTGACAAAAATGTTTTAAATTTTTCTTATTCTTGTGCTTAAAATCAAAACTAAAGTAGCTACGAGGTCACAAAGTAGTTCCAGTGATTTCGTATAAATTTGACCATCTCCGCCTGTTTAACACAGTACTCATAATCCACCCAAAAACCGCAATGGACCTTTTGACACTTAATATTTGAACCGTGTAGCCCAATAAAGCATACTGTAACATATGGTAATGTAATGTAAAATAAATGTAAAATATAAATAAGTGAAATAGACTCACGAGTGAAAAAAGCCCAAAAATCTGAATCACTTACAGTGTACAGATACTTTTCTTTTACATAAAATGATAATACAATAATACGACATGTATAAAAGGTTTTATACGTTAAATGAATTGAGTCTTTGCAACAAACTCTGATTTTTAATCCCTTTATCTTTAGATTCAAACGTCGTAGACCTTTGATATTTCAAACTGTGAGTTCTGTTAGATCAAATAATATAGGTTTGAAATGTTAAAGGTTTACGACATTGGGTTTCAAAGATATAGGGATTAGAAAATCAAAGTTTGTGGCAAAGAATCAACTGCTTTCGGACTGATTAGAAATGAAAAATTACTTTATACGTTGTGATTGTGAAAAAGACCATTAAGATATAATTCAAACCCCTTTTTTATCTTTGATAAAGAATTAATTACACCGTATTTTTTCCTTATTCAAGTTAACTCCAGATGTTCAAATAATTTAACCTTGATTAAATATATTTGAGATACGTCAAATTAGAATTGATTTCATGTTATATTGAAATCTTACATTATATTTTGCAAAAAAAGCAATTGAGATGAATGAAAAAATCATTCCAATATCCAACTAAATAAAGAAATTGAATCTTTGCTACAAACTCAAATTTTCTCTTCCCTGTACTCTTCAACCCAGTGTCGTATACCTTGGATATTTCAAGCTAAATATTCTGTCACATCAAATAATAAAGTTTGGCATATCAAAGGTTTTCACCATTAAGTTAAAAAGATGAATGAAAATTTGATTTTTTGAGAAATATTCAATTCCTTTGCTTTTTTTCTCATATTTGGACTAGAATCAAGATCTGAAGAGCGTCGTAAAGTCATAACAGTAATTTTGCATAAAGGACAGGAGTCTTTCCATCTTTATAACTTTGCAGACGAATGACGTAAAAATTACATTCTCTAGGTCAAATTGTCTTAGTTTAAAATATCAAAAGTTTATACCATCAGAGCTGGGAACTTTTGAATGATGGATATCGGGATTAATGCTTGATCCACTCTTTTTCTTAATCTCGAGATTAAATAATGCTTGTTCTCCTCATGTTATTTTTCTCCAGATTAATTAACCGATCGAGATTAAGGATATTCCATTCTAAAGTTTACACCACCAGGTTGCCTAGATATAGGAAATAGAAAATTCAAGAATTCAATTTTGTTTTGGCTTTTTCAATCTTTAATCGTAGAATTTTTGCATTCACTATTTTACTGAACTGAACGTTTTAAATATGAAAATATATATATATTTTGGGTGAATTTTAAGCGAGATATCAAAAACCTCAATTACCAATTTTCCATAAACAGTCTGAAAAATGTTCGTAAAATTATTTGTAGTATCCGTAGTCTTACGTTAAAACTAAAACAAAAAATCTTGAGGCCGATATTAAACTACTTTTTTGTGCATTAATCTATTATTTTTTTGACCTGAAAGAAATTTGAAAAATTTAATCTTTTTTAGGGGTTTTAGCCTTTTTTAACGTTACATGAGCCGTACCACCAATGTGTTTGTGTATTTTGACCCAGCGCCAGAATATTATTGGTTTTAAAGGCAAAGGAATTGAGTTTTTGCCACAAACTCTGATGTTCTTATTTCTATATCTTTGTAACCCAATGTCGTAGATCTTAGATATTTCAAGCTTTTAATACTTATAGATAAAATAATCTATGTTTGAAATATCAAAGATTTGCACCATCAGGTTGCAAAGATATTGGGATCAAAAGATTTGAGTTTGTGGCAAAAACTCAATTCCTTTAAAAGAAAATTATATTAGCAACCCGATGTCGTAGACCTTTGATATTTCAAATCATGCATTATTTTGGATAAAAAGTGTGTACACCAACAGGTTGAAAAGATATAGGGGTTACAAAATTTGAGATTGTGGAAGAACTTTTTGAAATATTTCTTTTCATTTTTATATACGTAATTTTAAACGACTCTTTCTTTGTATGCTTGATTCACAACGGAACTCTTGAAATCATCTGATCAAAAATATGGAATATATCGTCGTTATTCAAGCTTGTTTAATTATCATGATTTCCTCTATTGTTTCTGTAGTAATAAAATCCGCAAGTAACTTTAATAGCGCAACCACAATTGAAAAAAATCAAATTATGAAGAGAAAAGTATGGATATCACAGTAATTCTTGATCATGCAAAGGTATCCCATCCTATAATATCGAGGGTTACATAAAGTTATGTATATACTGTCTCTTTAATAATCATCAGTATTGTATTCTTCTTGCATTCATCTGAATTTTTTTTTCAAAATAAGCTAAATATCTATAATACCTACAAAGGAGATCTTTAAAAAAGGATTTTTTTTCTTCATTTTATTTTGAAATATTGACTGTAATAGGTTTTTTTTTTAATTCTTGCCATTTGCATTTGAATTTTTTTTGTCAAATATTAAAAGACTTACTCATTTTCTTTTGGAAATATAGTTTTAATGGCAAGGGGATGCAAAAATTTATTAAACAATAACATCATTAATGCATTTAAAGATTTCAGACAAGATATTAATCCTTTAAAATTAGTTATTAAAATTGTCCAGTTGTTTTCTAAAAGAATTCCTCAAACAAAATGGTTCCAGAAAAACTACATATAGCGTCTGAATTCATATTATTATAATTAATAATATTTGTTATCATCAATTCTTTACTTTATTAATTATTATGATGGTTATAATTCTTGTTAGTGCTCAGAAATGCGCACTTAAAAATAATGCATTAAACAGTAATTAACCATGAAGCGAAATAATTAGTTAGGAGTAAAACGCATCACGCATATTATTCTAATATAATTTTTTCATTTTATTTTGATATATTTCTTTCAGATGATTCTTTCTACCTCTGACAATTAAAAATGTGTCGATCTAGATGAAGTAATCTCTGTAGAATGGAAAAGACCTAAGTATACTCAACCCAGTGCCAGTAACTGATATTATCAAGTATGCCTCCACTAGTCCGGAGAAGTTAAACCCAACCTAGACTCTGATCTCAAGTATGAGAAGGAAGATGGGTGTAGAAACTGTTAGAAGAGAGAACAATGAAGAACCTGGGATTAAACCTCTTGATAAAGAGGAAATAGATAAACAAGTGAATGGAGGGTCAAAGGAAATAGAAGATGAAGAAAAAACACAAGAAGAAGGAGAAGACAAAGCAAAAGAAGAAAATGGAATTAAAGGAGAAGGCAAGGAAGAAAAAATGGATGAGGGAAGAGATGAACGAGCTTATGTAGAAACGAAAAAGGACGAACGAGCTTTAAACATAGAAGAGAAAACAGAAGAGAGAGCTTTCTTAGGAGAAACAAAAGTAGAAAATGAACGAGCTTATAACGAAGAAACTAAAAAAGAACGAGCTTACAACGAAGAGGCAAGTGTAGAAAGAGTAAATGAAGAAGAAGAAGGAAAAGAAGAACGAATAAATGAAGAAGAAGAAGGGAAAGAAGAACGTATAAATGAGGAGGAAGAGGCAAGAGAAGAAAAAGAAATGGAAGGAAAAACCATTTTTCACGTTGAACCAAATATTCCTGAGAGGAGGGAGGAGCAGATAGAAAATGATTCTCCTGAAGAAGAAACTGATGAAAATGTGGCTGAAGAGATATCAGCAGATCCTGAACGATCTTTTGCAGAAGAAGAACGATCACGGGATCCTGGAGCCACAGATGATCATTTAGACCAATCTTTACATCTGGATAAAGAGAAGTAAGTTTAAAATTTCTCTTATCGTCCAAGATTGGGGTGCTTTGCTCGCCCAAATATTTGATAACAGTTTATGAAATATCCAATTAATATCCAAAAATACTGTTTTAATTTGTTTAAACGGCACTACATATAATAAAGGATAGATATTTTTAGATAAAAATGGATGACATTGGTCCTCTGTTGGCTTGTTAGTGCATTTTGTTACTCCGTTTTTTTTTACATTTAGAATATTTGAATATCTAGAAGTAGAATCCAGTAATCTTGGTTCCCGAGCCCCCCATTGTTTCCTGGTCTTCCAACCGTAGCAGCTCTAGGCAGCATGGTTCCTCTTCGTGGATAGATTAGGCCTCCGAGAGGGGGGGGGGAGGGGGATTATAATGGGGTTTAGGGATTTGAAGAGAGTGATATCATAATCACACACATGGAGTACCATTATATATCAGAATTTATATACATGGTCTCTGATTGATGATGAATTAACAAAAGTAAGAGAACTTTAAATTTTCTCAAAAATGACAATAATTCAGAAAAAGAGGAGATTCATGCATAGGTATTTGTAGGGCTGAAATAAACAATCTTTAAAAAGTTAAAGTTGGGTAAAAATTTTAAAATTATGAATTGATTTGTTTAAAGCATAAAAAAGGCTGCCCACATTTTAGAATTCTCATCATAAGGAAAGCATGGGAGTATGATCTAGATTGCCGCGTAAAATAAAGACGATTTTTTCCTTTTGAATTCATTCCTAAGTTTATTAATATTTCCTATATTAATTATCTAAATGTACTGATATATATGTATTAATGAACTGGAGCATTAGAGGGTTAAAAGATGGCAGAAATAGAGTTTGAAAATAGCAGAAAAAGAGTTAGAAGATGACAGAAATAGAGTTAGAAGATGACAGGAATAGAGTTAGAAGATGACAGGAATAGAGTTAAAAGATGGCAGGAATAGAGTTAGGAGATGACAGAGTTAGAAGATGGCAGGAATAGAGTTAGAAGATGGCGGGAATAGAGTTAGAAGATGACAGGAATAGAGTTAGAAGATGACAGAGTTAGAAGATGGCAGGAATAGAGTTAGAAGATGGCGGGAATAGAGTTAGAAGATGGCGGGATTAGAGTTAGAAGATGGCAGGAATAGAGTTGGAAGATGGCAGGAATAGAGTTAGAAGATGACAGGAATAGAGATAGAAGATGACAGAGTTAGAAGATGGCAGGAATAGAGTTAGAAGATGACAGGAATAGAGTTAG